TAGTTACCAAAGCATACATAATACCCATCTCACTACCTTCAGCTTCAAAATTTTTAGTAGATAAATATCCAGTGATTTTGCTGATTTTGCTGTTTATGGGGCTTGAAGTTGCTGATTTCTTCATCTCCTCTTTAAGAAGATATAAAGTATACCTCTTGTTGTCCTTGTATAAGGAAAAGGTATTTGGCTTCGTCTTATAATCCATATCATGATCATACAACCAAGGTCTACCAACAAGAATATGACCAACATCCATTGGCACAACATCACATAAAACCTCATCATCCAAGTTACCTCCCATAGTGAATTTTACCAAACATGGAGTAGTTACCGGTACTTTGTGTCCTTTCTTTAGCCACCCAATCTTGTAAGGATGAGGATATTTACTTGTAGGAAGCTTTAATTTGTTCACTGCCTCTTTTGAAATAATATTTCCCATGCTTTTTCCATCAATGACAAGATCACATACTTTACCTTCACAAACAACCCGGGTGCGAAAAATACTTCACCTCCTCCAATCTTGTGCTTCCTCATTTACTGTTGTTGTCATCACTTTTCGTACTACTAATGACTCACCTTGTGTAGGATAAACATCGATTTCCTCTACCTCCTCCTCATACTCATCATAAACAAGCTCTAACTCTTCCTCTAATTCCATTAAGTTCACCCTTCGTTATGGGCAAGCAAAAGAAGTGTGCCCTTTTTCCCCACAAGTAAAACATTGAATCTAGGAATTGTTGCTCCCTTTATTTGTAGAAGAACCAAAACTATTTTGTTCACCATTAAGCATTATACCCTTGCTTTTATCATTCTTTTCAACATTAGTTGCACCCCTATTGGTTTTATTGATTGTGGCAGCCCCTCGATAATTTTGTTGGGATGTTTGATAACATCGTCTTACTTTAGAATTGCTTTGTCCATAAGTTCCATATATGGGCTTTCCAGCACCATAACGTAAAACTCGTTTTTTTGCTGATAAAGCATATTGACGAGCATCTTCAATATTGTATAAACGAACTACTCCCATCTCATCTCTAATAGAATGATTCAAACCAGCAAGAAAACGAGAAGCAATTTTACTCTTGGTTAACCCAACCCGAATTGATAGGTTATTGAACTCTGATGTATACTCTTCAACAGTCATGTTATTTTGCTTCAAACAATGAAACCTTTCATATAATTCTATTGTATAATCAATAGGCAAAAATTGCTTTCGTAATTTACTTTTCATGTGCTCCCAAGTGCTGATTTTAAGCTTCCCTTGTCTTGCACGTTGCTATTCAACTCTCTTTCACCATTAAAGTGCAGTACTTTTCAATTTCAGCTTTACAAAAATAATACCTTATTGTTTTACCTGAGTTTCCATTCAAGTAATTTTCCAAACTAGCTTCCCATACCAAATATTCCTCCGCATGAAATTTCTCATGAAAATCAGTTACTTCAATCTTGATTCCTCCACCATTTAAATCAAGAGCATGTAATAACTGGCCCCCCAATCCAATTTTTGCCACTTGATTTGCAAGTCCATCTTTATGAATGGAGTTCTCGTTCTCAAATTCATCATCATCCTCAAGATCTTGAATCTCAAGGGGGTTATGGTCACCTTTTGGATTCTCCATTCGGGCTTCCATTGGTTCTTGACGCTGTAAGGCTTGCACAGCCTAGGTCAAGTCATCAATCATTCTCTGCATCTCTGCCAACTCAGCTTGTTGGGGCTGATTGCCTCTAATTAGTCCTCTGCCTTAGCCAACCATAGTTTCTTATATAAGAAAATAGTAGGATCGTTTTATCTGATACCGCTTGATGTAGACAAAGGGTTTAGGGCAATTAGAACTCAACAATTAGGGCTAGAATAGGGTTGATTGTGTTGGAACAATAGAAAGATAATTGGGTTTTAAAAGAACCTATTGAATAAATATTCAAAAACAACAAAAGATGATAATAATAATCCTATATCTAGAATCACTATTTATAATAGTTAAGATAAATCCTAATCAAATAGTAATGCTAAAATAAATCCTAATCAAATAGTAATCCTAATCCTAAATAAAGACTTAAAGTACTAAAATTCTAATAAAAAAAATCTCAACTAAATAAATAAAATAAATAAATCTTAAGCTAATAAAAATACTAAAAAAATAAATTTCCATATGCGCTTGCATCAAGATGTACCATTAAACGTAGTATCAACAACATATTCCTTACTACAATAATTACACCTAGCTTTATTCACACCATCATCATTGACAAACCTGGTGAAGTGATTCCACGATTCCGCCCTCAATTGAACTCCTTTCTTCTTCTTTGCTTTAGATTTGGAACTCAAAGTCTCACCCTCACTTGCTCCTGGTGAAGAGAAATATGATGTTGGTTGTGTACTAGTCGTACCCATCAGTGGCAGTGGCACTGAATCATCATTCGCACTTGACATTGCTCTTAAAACTATGTATAAAAATTATTACATTAATACTAGCGCAATAAATTACCAACAACAATTTAAAACTATATAAAGACGCTTTTACATTAATACCAATATAATAAATTATTAACAAAAATAAAAATTAAAAATAATATTGGTCCATATGCTTATCACCTAGCATACTTCCCAATATCCTATAACAAAAAGAATCAAAATCAATAAGGAATCACCCTAAATCCCTTGACAATAGGCAAAGCCTATCCAACAAGAACCAAACTCCCTTGCATTCATAATACTATAGGTCCTAAAAGAAACCATATATACTTTTGACAAGCAAGTGCCACCATCATATATTAACTTCTGATACAAAAACAACAAAATATCTACAGGAAGTTAAAGTTCACTACTTAACCCTCCTTCCGAGGATAAAACACAAATAAAAATGAAAAGGTTAGCATTCCTAAAAGCTATAGGAAACTGGATAAAGAAATGAAACAAAAGATAATTAACCAGCCCTGCTTCAGTTTTTTTTTTTTTTTTTTGAAAACAAAAAGAACTTTTACTGCATAAAGCCAAAGCTACATATTTCCAAACCTTCCCAAGCAGCAAACATTGTACAATCCCAAGTCTAGAAGTTAAACTATTAGTTGCAAGTATCTAAACCCATTATCAAAAACTTGCATTTGTTAAAAGCATTGAGCCAACTTTAGCAAAGCCTAAACAAAACAAATACTGCCAACCATTTCACCGGACTTTAACCAATTCAACATCAAAAACCAGCTAGGAGTCTGGTGGAATATTCTCACTAGTCACTAGCCCCTTCATTCTATATAACTCATTGACAGTGGAACATAGAAAAAAGAAAAACTAGGCAGTTTTGCATTAAGCTTTATTTAAGTGGATTTAGATTTTGGACAATATGTGGCCTTCAAACAAGATGTGTGTGTGCTAGAATTAATATATCTAATTGTTTTTCCTCCTCATAAAAAAAATTCAGCTTTGGTTCAAACATAAAATTAATTTTGCAATGCAAGGTACAGATATATAAAAAAAGAAATCAATTTGGTTCAGTTTTCCTCCACATTTCTTGTAACCAAATAAGATAAAAAAAAGAAGAGGGAAAGATCTGAAAAAAAAAAAAAGAGAGAAGAAGAAGAAGAAAAATACTTTAAGCTCCAAAATCCAAAGCTATAGATCGAAATTGCAGAGGAAAGTGAAAAGTTTGGAGAGCAAAATAGGGAACCTTCAATCGGCACAACACGGGGAAGGGGGCAGCAGCCAGCAAGGAGAAAGGGTTGGAATTCGAGTGATTTAAGCAAAGAAGGGAAAAAAATTGGTGAAGTAATTAAGCAGCTAAGCTATGCCACGCACATGGGTTTTAACATTTAATGGTTAAGGTTTACTCTACTGTTTAGTATGATAGTATTAGTATCTGAGTCCTTGACAGTTGCCCTTTGGTTTAGTTTTTTTATTGTTTATTAATAGTTAAGTATCAACTAAATTTATTATTTTGTAAATATTAATTATTTATTTATAATAACTATAAGTAATATGTTAATTTTATATAGTATATGATTATAAGTATTATTTTATTATATATATGAAATTAATGACACAACTTATATTTTATAATATGTTGTATCAAAGTATGTATAAATAATAACTGATTATAAATAATATGTTATAAAAACTAAAGTGATAAGTAATAAAGTTATTAAGTATAAGCATATAAATAAAGTCTATTATAAGTTATAATAATGTTTATGCATAAATTAAATACATCCATATATCTAATATATTACTTTATTATATATATAAAATTAATTATATAACTTATATGTTATAATGTTTTATATCAAAGTTTGTAGAAATAATAACTAATTATAAATAATTTGTTATAAAATCTAAAGTGATAACTAATAAACTTATTAAGTGAAATTATAGAAATAAAACTTATTATAAATTATAGTAATACTTACTTATTTATAAATTAAATATATGTATATGTATAATATATTATTTTATTTTTTATATATATATGAAATTAATGATACAAATTATATGTTATAATGTTTTGTATCAAAATTTGTTTAAATAATAACTAATTATAAACAATATGTTATAAAATCCAAGGTGATAACTAATAAAGTTATTAAATGTAATTATATAAATAAAGTCTATTATAAATTATAGTAATACTTATATATAAATTAAATATATGTATATATATATATGACTTATATATAAATTAAATTATTGTAGCACTCGAGAGTTTGACTCATTGATTGGTACATTATCTTTCTGCCTAAAAAGCAGAGTTCAAATTCCCCTCCCTCAATTATACAAAAAAAATATTAAATTGTTGTGATTATGATTTGTATACATACATATAATAAATTAATATAATTTAAATATATTACCAATTAAGTTTACAATCAATTCTTCTTAATATATAAAAAAAATTTTATATACATTAATATATATAAATATTAAAAAAATAATTTGATTTTTGAGGTGAATTGATTTAAAAATTTTAAAACTGAAAATCGACTAAAAAAGCAATCGAACCAAACATTTTAAACCAATTGATCCAATGAACCAATTAAACCAAACCATTTTATCCAAATCATATTTAATTTGAATGAAGAATTAGTCTAAATTGGTTTTGCTCATCCCTACAAGACGATGAGGCTGCAACACACAGAACGGAACCAACAAACAGGCACTCTTACGTAGGAAGTGCAAAATTACATCGTCGAGAGAGATGAATTTACAAAGAAATTCACAGTCACTACTCTCCTTTTGATAAATAATTGCTGCATCATGGCAATTTCCAATATTACAAACATGGTTTTCTCTTCTTTCTCTTTCCATTTCCTTTTGACTATTTATATGCTTGTATCGTTTTACATTTTGCTATTTAGATTATGCCTTACCCAGAAAAGAGGAAGTTCCTGTTGGGCCAAGGAGGGATTTTGCAAATGCAACTGGCAGGGCAACTAGTTTCTTTGCTTTGCTCACATAAGCTCTCTTTGTGAGGTTGTTATAATCATTGGCCTCTATCTCATCTAGTATTTGGCGATACAACAGCAATGATGTCCAAACCTGCAATATTCAAAAGAATTATACAGGAAGATCAACAACTTAAACTCAAAAACAACCAGTCCCAATATTTTTGGCACCTTTAAGTTTCCTGACCAAACTAATGGAAGAAATAAATTGAGAGCACTTGGTCTCTTTTTGGTATTTTTAAGCTTAAGTAACAATTCATTGACATTGAACAAAATGTCACATCAGATGTGCTAGAGAGACTAAAATATCTATAGCACATAGTTAAGAAAACTTGGTTACATTCATTTTAGGTGATTAGTTATTTTTATGCTCCATGTTATCTTATTCTAGTATAAGAGTTCTTGATTGTTTACCGGCCATCTACTAGATGCACTCAGCTCTGCCACTCCCTTTTCTGCTTCATCAAAGAACATCCTTGCCCTCTTTATTTGCTTCTTCATGAAGTTTCTCCACTTATCTGTAACCTTTCCAGCAAAAATGTCCTCATCTGATAGTCCAGCCTGTGCTAATTCATCCTGCGGTAGATAAATCCTTCCCCTTTGTGCACTGCAGGAAGAAAGAGAAACAGCAGAAATCTTTGAGTTCGTTTTCTAACCCAAAAAGGAAAAAGGAGACAAAGAATCAAAAGCAAGTTACTCTTCTTCTCATTCAACAGAATGAATAAAAATTAAAGACTAATGAACTTTAAATTATTAGTAGCTGAACTGTAAGAGAATTTGAACAATTATAACTTCTACAATTCTAGGACTAAGCAAAGCCTAAAAATTGCAGATGTCAATATTTAGAACTCTCTACTTACTCCTCTCCAACATCCCTAAGTATGTTGGTAAGCTGATTTGCAATCCCGAAAGCCAGTGCAGCATTATAGACACTCTCTGTGGTAGCTCGAGATTCAGGTGCAATGCCCATAATAGGAACACTCATCAACCCAACAGTGCCAGCAACATAATAACAATAGAGATATAGCTCATCAAAATTTTTGTATCTTGACTTCCTAAGGTCCATCTTCATTCCTTCGATCATGTCTTTGAAAGGCTGCAATCAAGATATTAAAAATGGGTTCAGAAGTTCTAACAGTAAAATATGCAAACATTTGTGATTTTTGCTTTTTCTTTTTTCAGTTTTTTCAAAAAATTTGTTAGCTATACTGATGCGGGAAACCAGGAGCAATGATAAAGGCTACAAAGATTAACATATTAATTTGTCTCACTGCTCCAAAATCACATAGCCCTTCTTCCCCACAGTAAGCACTAGGGCTTCATGTAATAGATAAACAGATGGAGGACCAATCAAGTAGACAAGTTTATGCACCGATTCTCTTCACTGGCAACTCTTCAGGAGCACATGTGAAACTAATGCAAAAAATAGTGCAATAGCATCAGACTGGAAATTGATCTGTGGATATTGATATAATAGTTTGATGATATAAAGCATTATTACAATTCAACTAGAAGCTGTTCTTCAGTTCATTTTTAAGGTAAGCACAAGCCAGCCAATAAAAATGCAATGTCATAATACAAAGAAACTGAAACTGACGGCAAATCAACTTAAGCTAACCTGAATGTCAATGGGAAATTTAGCAACCGTATCTGATAAAGAAGCATCAAGCATCTCAAATGGATGACCTCTGAATACATCCTCCAACCTTGCTTCCCACCTATCTAAAGCAGTTGCAGTTATCTGCGATGCATTTGGCCCATCAACAAGCTCATCTGTCCTCCTACACCACACTGTATATGTGCGTAACATCATAAGAAGTGAAGAAATAAACTTCTGCATCTTCAGCTTACAGTCATCCATCAGGCATTACTTAAAATCTATCACAATAGATATCTTCAGGAAGCTTGAAAAAATTAAGAAGAAAATTATCACAATAGATAACTCACCATAGATTGCCCAAATAGCCCTCCGCCTTTCGGGGGTCATCAGCAAAGTTCCTGAATAGGCAAAACAACAAGGATCAACGGAAAATGTTTTTTTAAGTACTTGGTCTTAATTCCAACCCAAAGCTCACAATAGAGCTACTCCAATTGAATAACGGGAATGAGAAGGCTAACCCAAATAGAAAGTCTTTGCATACTGGGCACAAACTTCTCCACAACGGTCATAAGCTTCAGTCAACAAGCTCAAAGTACCAGGGACAACATTATCCGGTTTCACGTCAAGATCCCCACTAGGTCTCAACTGCCTCTTAACCAAAGCTGCCTGCTTCAATACAACATTGTAAACCTTCTCCTCTGAGGAGACAGTCATTTCTCCTGCTGAGCTAGTTGCCACGATGCATGATACAAGAGGGACCGAGCTTGAGCTTAAGTTTACTGAACGAGAACTACCTATGCATGGATACCTCAGATCTGTCCTTAAAGAATAAGAGTTCCATTTCTGTTTCTTACCCTTATTTGCACTGTACTTGAACAACAAATTCCTATCTAGGAATAAAAACTTGGAGGAGCCTAAGGACCGGTTTCCATCTCGGGATGAATGAATGAACCCCAAACTATTGGAGAGGTCTGATCGGGAAGGTACAAGCCATAGCAGCTTTACAGACATGTTGAAATCGGTTGAGCTTGAGCTGTGTTTTTAATTTCTAAAGAAAACAATATCTCAGTTTACATGAAACCAATCGAAAGGTTATGTTCTTTCAAGAAAAGGGGTCTGTAATTGCAGCTAAAGAGGAAAAGCGGCCATAATGCAAATTAACCAAGTAATCCAATTGAAGAAGTCTTAAAGTTAAGCAACTTCGTAGTTACACCAAATCTATAAAATAGCAAAGAATCTCCGCCCAAGCACTCTGTAATCGAACCAAAAATGAACAACAAAGGGTAATCCTTTCTTAACAGAAGTTCATAAAGCTGGTTGTAGCTTTTCCAAGTTTCAAAACTAAACCAAGCAAACAAAACATACAGAGACGACAAGATGGAATGGAATAAAAGAAGAAAAACAAGGAATCAAGATAGTGATGGAAAAGCTATTCACCTTTTTGTTGGCTATGGGAATGCGAGAGCTTAGATTTTTGAAATGACTTAAAATGTTCCAGAATTCAGAGTCGATATATATATATATATATATATATTTATATAGTGTAACAAAAACAAAAACAATGCAGCATGAGAGCTGAAAAGAGCTTTGTCCGGATTCGGACAGTGATGTTTATTGTTTCCCTCTTGGTTTGCTCTCTCCTCGGATTAGTGCATAAAAAAAGTTTGATCCGGAATCCGGACATTCCGGGGCTCCAAATCCGGATTTGCTCCCTTTGCTTGTTTTAATTATGTAATGGATCTCAAAGGATCCGGACCCAGCGGTGAAAACAAGTTGGACATATGGTCTCGAAATGAGCAAAGCACCAGCAGGGAGGAAGAAATCCAAGTACGTGGACCAATCAGCGAATGAGCGGAAGATAACGTTGTCAGAAATTAGAAGAAGAGCTTAAACAAAAAAAAAACACCTCCACATGTTTAGAGTTGGCAATGGAACTGGAAAGCGGAAAAAGTGGGCGAATCCTACAATGAAGTCAATAAAATTGACCCCCTATTGAATAATAATTATTAAATTTAGATATTTTTATTTCAGCCATTGACCAATAAAAAAAATTGTATAGTTTGGATTCGCAGCCATAGGTTCTTTTTTGGAGTTGGATAACTTTGATTCTAGATTCGGAGCATCCCTAAACCGGACTTTTAGGAAGATAAGGGTTATATTTTGTTGCATTTAATTTTCTTTATTATTGTACTCATAAAATCCTTAGCCAAATTAGCTATGGTTTTTAGCAATAAAATTACATAATTTTTAAAAAATAATAATTAAAAAGAAAGAACTAAAAAAGAGAATAACATAATTTATAAAATAATTATAGTGAAAAGTAGCTATTTATGAATCTTAAGGTAAATTTATAAAAATAAACGTAAACAATCATTAAGTTGAAACAAACATTATTTAAATATTAACATAAATTATTGAGAGTTCTCATAAAAAGTCAATTTAAATAAAATAAACATAATTTTTAAAAAAAATTAATCATTTACATCTATATTTTTTAGTTAAAAATATTTAATATTTACAAATTTTAATTTATAAACAAATAATAACAAGTATAAAAATAGTTATAATGAAAAGTTACCATTTAAAATCTTGACATAAATTTATAAGAATAAATATAAAAAATCATAAAGATAAAACAAGTATTATTAAAATATTTACATAAATGTGTAGAGTTAACACAACAAGTCAATTGAATCAAAATAAATCTAATTTTTTTAAAAATTAAATATTTAAATTTATATTCTTTAGCTAAAAATGTTTAACAATTTACAAATTTTAATTTATAAAAGAGGAATAATAAGGATAAAAATAATTATAGTGAAAATTAGTAATTGAAAACCTTAACGTAAATTAACGTAAAACATTTTAAATATGGAACAAGAATTGTTAAAATATTGACATAAATATGTAAGATTTAACGTAACAACTCAATTAATTCAAAACAAACTTAATTTTTTTGAAAATTAAACATTTAAATTTATATTCTCAAGCTAAAAATATTTGACAATTTATAAATTTTAATTTATAAAGAAATGATAACAAGAATAAAAATAATTATATTTAAAATAAATTACGAAACTATGTAAGAATTTACATAAAAAATTATAAAGAAAGATCATGCATTGTTAAAATATTAACATAAATGTGTGAGATTTAACATAACAAATTAATTAAGTCAAAATAAATTTAATTTTGTAAAAATTAAACATTTAAATTTATATTATCGAACTAAAAATATTTATTAGTTTATACATTTTAATTTATAAATGAATAATAATAAGGATAAAAATAATTATAGTGTAAATTAACAATTGAAAAATCTTGACTAACCCTATAAGAATTAATGTAAAAAATTATAAAAGTGGAACAAGTATTGTTAAAATATTGATGTAAATGTATAAGATTTAATGTAATAAGTCACTTAGGTAAAATTAATATAACTTTGTGAAAATTAAACATTTAAGTTTATATTCCCGAGCTAAAAATATTTAACAATTTACGAATTTTAATTTATAAATGAATAATTATAGTGAATATTAACAACTACGAAACTTTAACTTAAACTTGTAAGAATTAATGTAAAAAATTATAAAAGTGGAACAAAGATGGTTAACATATTCACATAAATGAGTGAAATTTAATATAATAAGTCAATTTAAGTCAAAATAAATATAACTTTTGTGAAAAGTAAAAATTTAAATTTATATTATCAAGCCAGTATTTAACGGTTTGTAAATTTTAATTATTAATAAATAATAGTAAGGATAAAAATAATTGTATTGAAAATTAAAAATTGAAAAACCTTAATGTAAACTTGTAAGAATTAATGTAAAAAATAATAAAGGTAAAATAATTATTATTCAAAATATTAACGTAAATGTATAAGATTGAATGTAACAAAGCAATTGTTTTTTAAAAGGTGAATGAATCAATTTAAGATTTCTTTTATCAAAGTTCTCTGAGTCACTAAAGAACATGACATTCCTATAGACTTTTTAATGGTATGCAACTTCTGGTACCTTTATCAGCAAAGGCTAGTTTACAAAACAAGTTTTCTAGCTAAAACTTATACACAGAATCAGCAGCAGACACTTGAGAGAAACCTTTGTCTAAACTCCAAAGCTTCTAGCTTGACCATCATCGTTGTTGTAGACAACCTACATTTCTTCACAATTTTTTGAGCTTCTAAGGGCCACCATCTTTTAAAGATGAGGATGAAGACAAACCAGTGCGGTTAAACTCAGCCTTGTCGTTATTAAATGCCTTCGGAACATCATCCTTCAGCTCCCTGAAACGTGATCTCTTTATTTTTGCTCCTATGGGGAGTCCTCCGCATGGTAAAATAAATCAAGAAGGCTATCTTCTATGAACTTATCTTGTAAAGTTATAAGGTAATAAGTTAATTAAATTAAAATAAATATAATTTTTTGTGAATATTAAATAAATTTATATTCTTGAATCAGAAGTATTTAATTATTTACAAATTTTAATTTATAAATAAATAATAATAAATAAAAATAATTATAATAAAAATTAATAACTGAAAATCTTAATGTGAACGTATAAGAATTAATGTAAAAAATTATTGTTAAATAATGTTAGCTCTCTATGAATATGAAAATGATTCCAAAAGGGGAGGTTGAATTGGAATTGTAAACATTTTATTCAACAACTAAAACCTTTTTAATGAAGGCAAACTTAAGGACAAGATTTTTCAAAAATGTTTTCCACTCAAATCTCTAGAAAAGTTATTGTCATTCCCTCTACTAAAATTCTCTGAAAAAGTCTCCTAAATAGGCACAAGTTAACCTAATTTTCAAATTTCCATCAAAAAATTATATATGGAAATAAACCTTAGCACCGTGACTCTCAAGGGTTCTACCTTGTAAAATTGCTTTCCTTGCCTTTCAGCATCGTGGCTCTCATAAGTATTTTGTTTTGCATTTCTCTCTTGTTGTATTACTCTCTTTTTGACAATAATTTTGACCACCTTTTGTTTTGAAATAGGCAAAGTGAATAGAAAAATTGTAGCCCTTCCTCTCAATTTTCTATTAGTCCAAGAATCACCTCATTAGAGTTCTATAGAGAAAGTTATGGTGAAAAGACTACAATATGCTCAACAAATTCTATGCCTCCCAATCTTGCACATGTCACTTCCATGAAGTACTTTACACTTAAGAACCTTCAAAATCGAGACTAAATAAGAGATTTCTCAAATAAAAATTATTGATATAAAAATGAACTTAAATTACTCAAATTAAAAATAATTTAAATGCATTAAACTAAATATGAAAAATATAAAAATTACCAAAATTTAACTTCAAAATACAAGGATTTAGTTATTTTTAATAATTAAAATTTAGTAAAATAACTCTACATCAATAATGCTTCAAGGTTGGCACATGTGATGTTCCTTATTATGAGTGGGAAATCGATCTCATATGATTAATAGTATAGGGAGACTCAGAACAAACATGTGGGTGCTTGTTCAATCAAGAACAAATTCACTGAACTTGACAATGCAATGAAAATTCTATTTGATATTTCACTTAAGTGTTTATGGATTAAATTCTCATCTATTAGTTATGTAAGTAATCCTTAGACTTAAGACATCGTTGTTATCTTGTATGAAAAGTGTTATACTTTGATTCCATCTTTACATATCTTAACCATGGACGACCAAAAAGGATGTTGGATATAGCATGAATCATATGGAGATATATGAATTGTCCAAAGAGGAATCATCACCTAAGTGAAGATTGTTAAAGGGAAGTATCCTACATGTTGGTTAAGCTTGTATTGACTTGATAAAGTATTTGGCCAAAACAGGATGAAAAGAAAAAAGTTTCCTTAAGATATCATTCAAAGTCAACATCAAGGCTTAATAGCAAATATGGAAGGCATTAAAAGTAGACACCATACCATGCTCTTTGCATATTACAGAATATATGATGATAGGATCGACTTACACAAGACTAAACACGAAAGGTTGAGTCAAACCATGTGACTTTTCCATCATTTAGGTGGCTATGATGCTTTGCTAAAAGCCAATCTTGGTCTATAATTATGATTGGCCAATTAGAAAATTGGTGATTAGGTCAAATTTGATTTGATTCATCTAATTCGTTATGAGGTTTGAAATTTCAATTTATACTTATTGCCAATATGATAAGAATCCTAATAAGTCACACACATAAGGTAATTATTAAGAATTAATTTTGGGAATCAATCAAATAAGATTTGATTGGTGAAGTTGAAGACTCCATAAAGAGATAAATTGAAAAGTTCAATTTATGAGTCTTTGAGGCTATTGCAAGTAGTTCAAATAAAGGAGTTTATTGTCCAACATGTGGGCCGATTTCGTTTAAAGATAATTGGACCTTGTTTTATTTAATTAAGTTAAATAATTAATGGACTAATTAGCTACTAATGACCCAAGAAAACTTACAACCCAATGCAATCCAAGGCATTAGGAAAATTCTAGTTTGATTAAAAGTTAACTTAAGAGTTAAATCACAAGTCTTCTACCTCTATATTTAAATGATCATTAGCCACTCATTGAAATTAAGTTTTAAAAGAGAACTTTTTGAAATCTAAGGAAAGATTTTTAGACTAGGGTTTAGGATTTAGGGTTTAAGATTTCTCATCTTAAACACATGAGAAAAACAAGGGACCTCTAAGTAGAGGGTCTACTAACATAAATTTTGATTTTGGTCTTTCCTATCTTAAAGAAGATATTCCTAATAGTTGCTATGTGGATTATCGTTAAAGGCAAGACACTTGAGCTGCT